TTAATAGGGACTCGGTTAGCAAAAGTCAGGACACTAAACAAAGCCAATTTGAAATAATGGTGGAGTTTATGGAATCAAATCCAAACTTGGCGAAAGGCTACATAAAATGTGCGGACGGTACACAAACAAGTAAATATTTGTGGGAGCGGTTGAGTGAAAAATTAAATGGAGATGGACCACCCATACGGGGCATGCCTTCGTGGAAAAAGGTAAATTTCTGTGTGAAGAAAATTAATTTTGCTATTATACGTTACCTGTGCTTTGATTTCTATTTATTTTATTTGCATTTAAGGTTTGGGCGGATTACAAAACCCACATTAAGGCTAAAGCTCGCAAAAATAAGTTGCATATGTCAGGGACAGGTGGTGGGCCTGCAAAAGTTCATTCCTTCAATTCAGTTGAATTAAGGGCATTTGACTTACTGCAGATAAATCAAGCGGTAGATGGGATAGCAGATGCTCAAAAGTTCGATGCGGGAACAAGTGAAGTTACACAAAGCTACCAAAGTGAAACCGCGGATCTAAGCACTCAGAAAGATATAAGTGATTTGCAAAATTTTGAGGAACTACCACCTTTAACACCACCATCTCGAACCCAAACGTCACCCAAATGTAGCACTGTGTGGTCACGTACCGGAACTAAAAACAATCTTTTGAAAATGCAAGTAGACGGGCAAATAAAGTTTCACAGTGATTGCACCAAGATTTTAAAAGACGTGAATTACAATTTAAAATCTTTAGTTAAGTCTAATAAAAAACTTGTTGAACAAAACGAAGAAAAAATAGAACTAGAAAGACAAAAACTAAAGTTTGCAAAGGTAAAGCATGAGTACAAAATTAAAAGCGACAGGGAGGGGACCAATATAAGAATTGCAAAACTTAAAATCAAGGAACAAATGTGAAATGTTAATACCCGTTAATTTTACTTATTGAAATGAATGAATAATTGAAAGAAATGAAATAAATGGATTGCTTTTTAGTTAGTTTATTTAAATTACGAACGCAAGCTTATTTTAATTCGGTCTCGTATTGTTTGCGCAATTCGTGAAAACTCGTTTTGATCTACGTTGGGTAAAGCCAAATTAGATCTTTCTTCATTAATTTCAATTACTGTTGGTGCTTCAACGTTGTATATGAGGCAAATGTTATGCAGAGCACAACAAACGTTCAAAATTTTAACAACTTTTTTTGGTGCATACTGAAGTCGAAAACGACTTTTTAGAATTCCAAATACACGCTCGATTATTGATTTTGCTTTTGTAAATTTTTCATTGTGCAAACTTTCAAGTGAATTTTCTTCTGCATTGCGGTAAGGCGCAAGGAGCCATGGCTCTAATGGATATCCAGAATCACCTTAAATAGGATAGATAATGAATAATTAGTAAGCGTTAGACTATTTATATGTAAATAAAAGTACAAGCGTTTTGAATAAAATCACCGACCAATTAACCACGAAGATTTATCTCCATTTTGGTAGTTAGATGGCATGTATTGTCGTTCGTTTGAAAGGCTCCATACGTGAGCATCATGCGCTGCTCCACCATAAACTCCATTTACAGCTCTTATATATGTACATATTATGGTCACAAATCTAATTACAAAGTATAATAAATAAGTCTGAATAAAACGTCGTAATATAAACTTACCACCATAGCATTGACGCTATGCTTTAGCTTTCGATTAAAAAAGAGATGTTCATCTTTTACTGGTCTAACCATCTGTATGTGAGTTCCATCAACAGCACCTATTATTCCTGGTAATCCAAATTTTGAATAAAAATAATTCTTAGCATCACGTTTTTCTTGTGAGCTCATTTCAAATTTTATGTGTTTCGGACACATTGTTTTTTCAATAGCATTCAGTTATGCCTCTTAAGACGTAATCAAAAGCTTCTTTAGATAGTCTAAAGTTTTGTATGAAGCTATAGTCCCAAATGCAAAAACAGTTTATAACCGAACATAGTACATATGTATGTACATAACAAATTACCTTTTCTGCGATAATTCCATAATATTAAACTCATTTCTTATACATACATATATCTTCTAGTAATCCTTTCCTCAATAATTTCCTCGTCCTCCATCCACAATGCAACGGAATTTATATTTTTCAAATAAATTTAAACTTATTTCATTTTATTTTGACATTTAGCATTCGAAAATACTGGCACAAGGTGGTACAACTTTCGCATATTTATAAACTAAATTCGATTTTTTTACAGAATGCTAAAACACATTCGAATCGAATATTAAATTCGAATAGAATTTACTTTCGAATCGAGATACAAAATAGGGCCCCTGATATTTGTATAAGAATATATTAGAATAAAATTGACAACATAGTTTATTTGTCGATTTTCAAGTCAAGAAATGTGCCAAATAAAATATTCAATATTCCTCTGATTTATGTGTACAGTGAATCCGTAGCAGTATTCCGCTTAAATGAAAATCATCCCTCTTAACTGCCCATATCTTGCTGCATCTCACGGTTTGTTCTATGAAATACTAATTAATGTTTTAAGTACCACTCGCTTAAGTATTCGCACTCGTTTATGTGCCATATTATATTTTTATTTTTACAAACCACAAACATATGTATCTTTGATTGTGGCACATAACTGGGATTGACTGTATTTTTATTGACAAGAAACCATAAAAAAGAAAAACTCAATCAGTTTAGCTCAGAGGGAAAATTTTTAAGAAGAATTTTAAGGATACCAAAAGGAATTCCTTTTTTGTTCACATAATAACGGGCTTGTACAGCCAATAATAAATAACAATATAAAATCTGCGATTCACCACCTTCGGGCGGACTCTACAACTTATAACAAATAAAATTCTCTGCCATTCACCACCAAAGGGACCCTCCAGAGAATTATAAACCACAAAGTCAAATAAACAAGGGCTCGTATAGCCAATAACTTTAATATTTAAAAAGGCCGCGATTCACCACCTAACGGGGGACCCTCCAGAGATTAATAACATAAATAAAGCAAAAGAAAAAAATATATCATATTCTAAAGAAAATAAAACTAAATCTAAATAGAAAAATGTAAAAATCCGAATAATTTAATACGCCCACCGGTTCTGCAAAGTGCAGCCGCTAGCACTCAAGACACCGCACAGGTGCACAACATAGCAGCAGAACAATTAACTTCTACTATTACAAACGTTGTTAGAAATTTATTCYAACAACACGGCAAACAACTCGTTCAAGCCGTATTGAATCCAAATGCCAGTATGRCAGAGTTTTCGGATCAGTCAATTGATCCAGCCTACAGAAACAATCTAACCGACCTCGATAAAATTCCAGACATTGTCCGTTGTCTGCGCGAATTTTCCGGAAACCCAGGGGAGTTTAGCTCTTGGAAGAAGGGAGTAGATCGGATACTCCAAATTTATGAGCCTCTTAAAGGCACTCCCAAATGCTATGGAATAATTCGCGTCATACGAAATAAAATAATAGGGAACGGAGTTAACACCCTAAATTCTAAAATTTAATATAAATTAATTCCGTTCCCAAGCTGATTAAACAAAAACATAACTTTTATTACGAAATCGCCAACTCCACTGAAATTAGTGCACTTGCGGAAATGCACTTCCGCTGACGACCTTTTGCTTATCAGCAAGAAGTGACAACGCAGCTCAGGTGACAAAACTACAACAACATATAATATAGAACTAAGTTATAAAATATTTTATAAATAGAAGTAACMATTAATTATAAGAAGCTTTTGGTATTTTCGTTGCATCGAATAAAGAACGGAGCTCGTCTCCAATAAAAAAACAAAAATTGGTTTTTTAATCCTCCCAGTGCGTAGGGAGAAAACTTATATAAGTATGTATGTATGCATATTCCAATATGTTTTTGTACCTCCATGTTCACTTTCATAAGTTTATGTTGTTGGCTTTTTTTTCCATTTACGAATGCCACGTTGTATATGAATAATGGCTGATGTCGCACTTGCCCATCTGCGATGTCTGCATAAGTTTAAACAAATCAAAGTCAAGGTCATTATTTTCAGAATATACTTATATGCAAATTTTATTGATTCATTATTACTTAAAATTAACAATTTAA